ATATATATATATATACATATATAGAACTAACCGGCTCTGTGGTATCTGGAGAGAGTCTCAGCTCCGAACTTGACGACAGGGAGTCCAGAGCAACCGTGAGTTGGTCCTCGGCTGCTCACCAGGCTCTGGGGGTAGAACTTTAGGGTTTAGGGTTTAAGATTTGGGGTTTAGGGTTTAGGGTTTAGGGTTTAGAACTTCAGGGTGTTTAGCTGAACCTCAAACGACCTAAACCCTACACCCTGAACCCTGAACCCTGAACCCTAAACCCGAAACCCCAAGAATCTACCTTTTACCTTTTAAGGGTTTAGGGTTTAAGGTTTAGGGTTTAGGGTTTGAGGTTTAGGGTTAGCTAGTTCATGGTTGGGGTAGTATTAAAAATCTAAATGTATATTCCATATTGGGTTTAAGTACCTTTAAAGATGAAAAATGTTAACCAACTATGACAAAGTTAGGTTATGAGAAAACTAGAACGAGGATCCTTGATTTGCCCCGAACTCACCGAAGTTCCAAGTCCTGAGCTCCCCAGGTCCCAAGCAGAAAACGCCGGTTTAGGGTTTAGGGTTGAGGGTTTATTTAGGGTTTAGGGCTTTTTTAGGGTTTAGGGCTTAGGGTTTATTTAGGGTTTAGAGTTTATTTAGGGTTTAGGGCTTATTAGGGTTTAGGGCTCAGGGTTCATTTAGGGTTTAGGGTTTATTGAGGGTTTTGCATTCATGTAGGGTTTAGGGCTGAAAGCCCCGAGACCCTAAGCATCTACGAAAAGCGCCCTATGTAGGAACGGGAGGGCTCCCTTTTCAAAAGGGATATATAAGGGTTCTAAAGGGCTGTATAAGGCGACTCTAAGGGTTTGGGGTTCAGGGTTTAGGGTTTGGGGTTTGGGGTTCAGGTTTAGGGCTTTGGGTCTAGGGTTCATGTAGGAACTTGATTAAGAAACCCTGGGTCTTTGTTAGGGTGATACAGGACCAGGCTTTCTTAATCAGGTTCCTGCATTAAACCTCAAGCCCGACAACACCCTGTAAAACCCTAAGACACAAAGCCTAAGCCCTACAGCCTCAGCCGGGACCCTGGCACGTTGCCTGAGGTCATCCGCGTTGATCTCGGGGCGACGTTCGACCGATTATTTAGGCTTAAGCGCTTCAGGGTTTTCGGGTTTAGGGTTTAGGGCTCGGGGTCTGAAAAGTCTACTGGGCTTGGTACTTAAGGTCAAATTTCTGCAAACCCCATGTGTGAGTCTTTTGGTTTTGAGGGCTTAAAAAGTGCGAATCGAGGGTGGGGGCTGGCGTTTGGGCTTCACGGTTTCGGTGAGGTGAAAGGGAACAATTTGCAAGCTTGGGCCTCAGCTCTTTGGCATTTCGCTGGTTGACGGCGAACCCTAAACCCTAAACCCTAAACCCTAGTTACCTAGGTCTTGAGGGACGGAGATTCGGATCCAGGGCCGAACCTTGGGGCGGGTTCAGAGCTTGGCGTTTAGAACTAAACCCTGGAACCCTAAACCCACCCTACATCCTGAAGGGACTCTCCCTCTGGGGCAAGGGCATTGCGCACTTTCTGCAGCATCAAACGCGTGCAGACCTCGTCTCCCATGTCGATTTGTGCCTGCCCAGGATATGGACTCGGATTTCAGGCTTAGGTCCGTTTAGGTGTCAGCATATGTGGAACTCCACAAACATCATCGCTAATATAATCACCGGCAGCACCAATATCCACAGCAGCAGCAGCCGCAGCAGCAGTAGTAGCGACAACAGCGGCAGCAGCAGCAGCAACCTTTCAAATTTCACGACCATATCAGACGGGCGTCATCAGATTACTCTGTTGCTGTCCCGACCTCGCTAATGTGCACATTGGACCTCATCTTCTCCGCTACCCTAAGCTTAAGCCCTAAACCCGAATACCACGACAGTACTCCCAGAGACTCCAATATCCCTTAATTAAGGAATAGACCTCAAATCATATTAGGGATCCTACTATAATTTTAAGGTATATTCCCTAATTAAGGGATATTGGAGTCTCTGGGCTATCAAGATCGTCATCACCAGTCAGCACGCAAACACCCGAGAGGTTGACACGCTGCATTCAACCCTAAACCTCCGGCAAAACCCTACCTGCCCACAAAAACCTTCATGGGTTTAGGGTTTAGGGTTTAGGGTTTCCCCATTAAAAACAAGACAAAAAGCAACCGTAAACAACTACAAAACATACATGAAACCCTACGCCCTAAAACCTGAACCCTAAATCCCAAACCCTAGTTACCTACTGGCCGAGCAGGAGATTCGAGGATTGACCCAAAGGGTTTAGGGTTTGGGGTTTAAGGTTTTTTTGGGTGGGTTTAGGGTTTAGGGCTTTTTTGGGGTTAGGGTTCAAACCCGGCAAACGTCGCTTCGGGAAGGCTCGGTTTGTGCTCCAAGCGATAGAGTTTAGCCCCCAAACCTCTCAGGATCAGCATCGAAGCCCCAAACTCTAGGGTTTAGGGTTGAGGGTTGAGGGCTTAGGGTTTAGGGTTTAGGGTTCTAGGGCTCTAGGGTTCTAGGGCTCACTTTAGGGTTCAAGAGGTGTGGGTCTAGGGTTCTGTGGCTTGGCAGTTTTTCGAATTTTGCATAGATAAAAACCCTACACAAAGCTGTCTAAAATCAGGTTTTTCTTGCCTGCTTGAGGACTCGCAGAATCTCGTCGTCGATGTCGTGCCGGGGTACCTTACGAGAGCAGAAGCGACAAAAAGGTTGCTCAATTCGGGCTTGCGGATTTCATTGCAGGGCTCCTTCATATAATGGGGCTACAGCTATGAAAGCTTCCTTTTTGCGGGGCACTATAAGGCTTTAGGGTTTAAGGGCTTGGGGGGACCTAGGGCCTTTCTGGCTCTGGGGCTTCAAAGCTGTAGTTTAACACTTATGGGTTTAGGGCTTGGGGTTATGGCTTCGCTGATGCATCTCTGGCCCTTTCGGGCTATGGCGGGCCCGGTACCCAAGAAAAAGATGTAGGCCGAGAAGGTGTCAGCGTCAGTTTAGCTTTGGCCTGGTAGAGGGCGCGGCTTTGGTTTTAGGGCTCGCGGCTAGACGTTTGAAGCATCTCGTTCCAACCTGATAAAACCCCCTAGCCCCCTATAATATAATAAGTCGTGTAGAGAGCGTTGTGAAGCCCTCAAAAACTTATCACACTCCCCAAGGCTCCATGAAAAACCAGAAAACCTGCACAGCCCCTACTAGTTACTAGATCTTTGCAAGACCCGCCACAACATTCCTACAAAATCCTGACAACACAAGCCCTTCCAACGCCCTGGGCCCGGACATAGAAATCCAGCGCGTTTCTCCTCTCGTCCTCAGCGAAAGCCTGCCGCACAAGAAGGCATCGTGAGGATCTCCTGAACCCTAAACCCTAGGGTTTAGGGTTTAGGGTTTAGGGTTTAGGGTCCTTAGACCCCTAAACCCTAAACCCCTAAACGCTTTTCAGCTGCCTTTAGGTTTCAGGGTTTAGGGCATGGACCAAGAGTTCTGTGAAAAATCTTGCAGGATTCTAGACTTGAGAGCCTAAACCCTAAACCCCGTTGTAGCATCGAGGAGAGCTTTGGGGTTTAGGGTTTAGGGTTTAGCTCTAGGGTTTAGGGCTTAGGGCATCTGGGGAACACAGGCTTTAGGGCCTGATTTTGTGGATGGACCGGCGGTGGCCGCTGCCCCGGCGAACTGGATCACAAATCCTTCCTACTGTTGATGGACAAAATTCTGCATGACCCACATATAGTATAGTACCATAAATCCCATAGTTTAGGTATATAAGATCATGCAAGATTGTGTCCATCAACCGTAGTAAGGACTTGCAGGTCGTCCTCCGTCCTTCCCTTTGACCAAGCTCGCTTCAACGTGCTTGGCCGACTCTGAGCACAAGCTCGGAAGCAGGCTGCGATGGTAGAGTACCTACTTGGAGGATCATGGGGCTTAGTAAGTAAGGTTACAAGGCCCTTAATTGGGGTGATAAGTATAGTTACCTTAATTATAACCCTTCCCATGATCCTCCAAGTAGAGATGCTACGGAGGAGCAAGGATGCCTTGAAGAGCTGTTGTTCATTATATTCTAACTTCCACAATTCCACGTCCGCATTGCCAAGCACTTCCGTCACCATGGAGCACAGCCAGCAGTGGTCAGATTTAGGAAAGATGCTGCAAACATCCGAGGGAGCACAATACCCCATCATTCAGGGACATACCTGAAGTCAGATCAAGCGCTTTGATATTGCGGCGAATATTGCTATATCCCCTGAAATAGTCTAGAAGAGACCTAGAAAGACCCCTAAGCCCGAAAAAAACTTAGGGGAAGACAGGCACCTCTTCCTTCTAAGCACCGAACCATGACGGAGATGTCGGGCGATTGCTCCGTAACGCTCATTGCCTCACAGGCCAAACGGGTTCCGGGGTTGTAGGATGATTTCCTACTACAGGTGATGATTAGAATGAAGCTCTGGGTTGATGCCACAACTCTCATACGGAACCCTACAGATACTAGAACTGTATTCACTTCGATTAGAACAGTCTAGGGTGTTGGGGCCTGCTTGCACATCGACGGTGTTGTGCCACGAGCCACAGGCACGGCGAATTCTTGAGAAGCACCCACATAGACCCCATATCCCAATCTCCGCTTCCTACTTGCCGAACGCTGCCGGCTGGAATCGCCCCAAGACCCGGATATAAGGACTACCCTAACCCCTAAACCCTAAACCCTACATGACTACCTATTCCGACCCTATACCCTCTTCATCGTCGCCAGCAAGTAGCAGCAGCGGCGTCAACGCCATCAGTGTCACTAGCCTGTCCCCCTACCACCACGGTCATTCTCGTCATCATCACCACCATCATCATGCACCAAGATGGAAGAAGTCAGCAAGACCGAACACCCCTGCCTTTTCCGCCCTCGGAACCCCTGTGACATGGGCCCTGAACCCTACAGCCCAAACCTCAACCCTAAACCTTGGATCCTAAACTCTAGTCTAAACCTCACAGTAAGCCTAAAATCCTAAACCCGAAACCCTAAACTCCTAACCTGGGAGATGGGAGGCCTTGTCGATCGCCTCGATGGCTTCGAGCTGAATGGCACGGGTCATATTTGGGTTCTGCCTCGGCCCACGGACATGTGTTGCTACCGTGGCTTCTGAGCTTCAGGTGATTCTTGTTGAGGGCCCCTGCTGGGCTTGCAGTCCTGGAGCCCAGGGTGGGCAGAGTGAACTCGAGCTGAAAGGCGTGGAGTTAGGGCTCGGGCTGAGGGTCCGTGTAGCTTTGGCGTTAGCACGCTGCCGCTACGGGCCTCCATCGTCATCATTATGTGTCACCACTATCACCAACATCGTCGCGCACCATCATTGCCGCCATGACCAACAACCAGCGTCATCTTCTTGGTGATCACGAACCTCAAGAGAAGCTGGAATACTCTGCCCCCTGAAGACAACCCGGTGTCCCTTGCCTTTTACTCACTATAACATACTATACAAAAATGCACCGTAATAGGCCATAATATACAGTCATGACCTGTAGTATACTATAATACTATAAGTATACTCTAATACACAGAGCCTGAAGTCCAGAACTCCAAAGCCCTGCACCATCAGGCCTGAGCCAGTAAATTCGGGGTTCGGGATAACTTGGTTTAGGGTTTAGGGTTTAGGGTTTAGGGTTTAGGGTTTAGGGTTTAGGGTTTAGGGTTTAGGGTAAATTCGTCAACATCCTATAACCTGTACGAAAACCTGCAGAACGTCTTCAAAAAAGCTGTCATGTAATGACAGGATGAATGTCTGTTAAATTACTGTACATGCGTTAGAAAGACAGCCTATAAACAGGCAAACATCATAATACAAACTATTAAAATTCAACCCTCGCAAAAAACCTACAAGAAAAATCTGGCTTTTGCTGAGAAGAGCAGCTCAAGGAGGTGCTGGAGCTCGTCCACCAGAACCCGCTGCTCGCGCAGGTAGTCCCTTCCGCGTGCTTGCTCAAAGGCCGTCCTATGGGTAGTTGTCTGTATTCCCTAAACCCTAAACCCTTGTTTGATCTCCAAAAGAAGCACGGCACCCTTAGAAAAAGAAAAGGATTGAGCCATCCTGTCAGAGCTCATCTAGGCACCCTGTAAGGGTTCCTTTGTTCCTTCAAGGGGTTTCTTTTGGGGTTTCTTTGAGGGCTTCTTTTCGGGCTCCTTTCAGCGTTCCTTCAAGGAGGATCTTAGGGTGGCTCTAAACAGGATCTCTAAGATCTCTATACGCGTGTTTAATGAAACCCTTCATTACTAAACGCCCTTTCTGGAAAGGCTCTCACATCAGGGATCCCTATTTATGACAACACCTACTAGTACGGGAGATGGGTTTACGAATCAGGGGTCTGCATTCTGGGTCCTTATGGGCCCTCCCGCTGTCTGTTGCAGGGGTTTTGATGCTTTTTTCGCGCTTCACAAACACTTTACAACTTCTGTTATACTGTTTCCCCGATGGTTGGTATGGGGTTTATAAGGCTTCTTGGGTTCTATGAGGTCTTACAGTGTCGTCCTTTCGGTTATTTGCCGTTGTAGGGTACCGTCACAGTCCAAGCAACCCTGAGGTACTTGAAAATTCGATGCCTGCATGGTGTAATCTCTGCATACCGAAGCTGTGAAGGCTTCCAAACATGCTGTGAGCTTGCATGATCCCACTGTCATCCATCCTACTCCCGCCCTGCAAATTCCGGAGGAAAATAGCTAGTTTTCTTGGAAATGCCTCTTTTCCTTGGCTTTTGGACGGAAGTAGGATGGGACAAGGATGGGTGTGCCTCCCATCCTACTCACGTCCTACTCCCAACCTACTCCCGTCCAGATAGTAACTATTTCACACATATTTTAACTAATATTTTTTTAGGATGGGAGTAGGATGGGAGAAGGATGGATAGCCACTCGAAAATAGCTATTGGTACGTAAAATAGCTTCTTGTGTAGACGGGAGTAGGATGGGAGCATGATGGGAGTGCACCCTATCCTTCTCCTTCCAGAAAAGTAGCCAACTCCTAGAAAAATGTCTATGTCTTTGGAAAACATTTGAAACGTATCGACTTGCCGGAACCGGACTAGGATGGGAGTAGGATGGGAGCAGATTTGTTTGATGTGGATAAACTCGTTAGCCAGCTGACGAAAAGCACACTTCTCTGACATTGCTCGACACTCAGCCCTCATGTACGGCAAGGCGCTGAAGATTCACAAGTTCTACTGCTTACATCCTACTCTTATTCTAGTGCCATACTCTGCATGTCCTGGGAGTACGATGGGAGTGGATAGGCGTAGGCAGGAAGAGGAGGAATGGACCCGTCCCGGCTTTTCTGCAACTGCCCGAAACCCTAAAACCCGAAACCCTAAACCCTAAACCCTAAAACCCTAAAATCTTAAACCCGAAACCCTAAAACCCTAAACCCTAAACCCGGAACTTGAAAGCCCCCGCCTTCTGCAGCGCTCGGTGGCGCTCTGGGAGCTGAGGGCCAGATGCTGCTCCTGCTCCGAGAGCTCTAGGTTTAGGGGTGTAGGGGTTTAGGGGTGTAGGGTTTAGGGGTGTAGGGGTGTAGGGGTTTAGGAGTTTAGGGTTTAGGGTTTAGGGTTTAGGGTTTAGGGTTTAGGGAGGGTTTGGGTTTTAGCTAGTAAGAATTCCTGTGCAAGCCCTCAACCTCCAACCCTAAACTCTAAACCCCGAACTCTAAAGCCTAAACTTTAGACTGTAAACAGTACACCAAAAACTGAAAGAACCCTAAACCCGACAGTGTTCAAGAGTGTGAAATCTAGGACTCAGTTCAGGGGTTGGGACCTTCTATGCGGCTCTGCTAGAGGGCTTGTTCAGCGAGACTTTGTTGACCGCCCCGGACATGAAATTTCAGGTTCCTCGACCGACTGCGGTTTTGGGTTCAGGGTCCAGGGCTAAGGGTTTGGGTTGAGGGCAGGAAACATTAAATCTTTATGACATAGGTTCCGTGTTGTTGTCTAAGCTCTTGCCGGCTGGCAGCATGGACAGTTCGCACCAGGCAGCAGCATGCAAAAACTCGGCGGTTTGTCTTGTGCGAGTGCGGAGTAATACTTCAGTACATCACAAAAACCCTGTGGTTCGTGCAGGATTCTCAAAAGGGAGGCAAGTTAAATGGTATTTGTAGCACTTCGTGCACCTCGATTAATCGCCGAATCCCAACAGTCTTGGTATGTCTTGGTCCTTTGCGGTGTTTCGGTCTAGAGTTTTGGACGGGTTCAAGGCTTGGGTCTGATCGTCATGATGTCGTCATCATGTCGCCATCGTCGTGTCGCAATGGTCATGTCGTCATCATCATCATCATCATCATCATCATCAACGTCATCATCATCATCATCATCGTCGTCATAATGTCGTCATCATCGTCATAATGTCGTCATCATCGTCATAATGTCGTCATCGTCATCACGTCGTCATGATCATGTCTCCATCGCCCTGTCGTGATCGTCATGTCGTCATCAGTGCCCCACCCACCAGCTTCACCCAAGCTCCAAATTTAGCTCCGAAATTCAACCTCCGAAGTCCTGAACACAAAGTACTTCCCAGGAAACCCCCAGGGACAAACCTCTCAGAAGCACTTCTATATAGCTGTGAAGCGCCGGAGCAGGACGCCATGCTTGGGAGGCCGCCAGCAAGAACTTTACAAGCCAAGAACTTTAGAAGCCGTATGAAAAGTGTTGGAGTTAGGAAATTGCCAAAACAAATTCCTCAAGGCCCTGATAGCCTCAAGGCAATGAAGTCTTCGTGGTGCATTATACATAAACCTTAAACGCGAAGCCCTAAACCCTAAACCCTTAAACACTATAAATATATATATATATATAGATAGACATATGAATATATATATATATATATATACACATGCTTGATTCAAGTTTGGGTCGTGAGGTCTAGCCAGGGCTCAGGGCTTAAGAGCTTCGAACTTAGGGTCTCGGGCTCAAAGTTGAGGATTTCGGGCTTCAGGGCTCGTGGATTCAGGTCCCTGGTCCAGGAACTTGACCTTCAAAGGTACTTGAAGCGATGCCCTCCCCTAACTAAACCCTATCCCTAAATTACTAAATCCTAAATTGCCAAGCCCTAAACTCCTAAATCCTAAACCCTACACCTTCAACCCTAAACCCTCGGCCCTGAACCCTCGGAACCCTGACACGAACAACTCCCAACCCCTGCAAAAGGAACGGAACATCACCTTGTAAACCCCTAGAGAACCCTTACGAAGCCCATATATATTCTAGAAGAAGAGTTACATTTGTATAGAGGCGCTCGGCGACACTCTTTTCGAACAACAGTCACACCCGTAAAACAGGCACATAGACGCGCAAAGCTCACACTAGCCTTGTCTGAGCGCTCTTGCAGTGCAGTGATGGCCGCAGCAT